TAAGCATGAGCCACTGACACCAGCTTGATATCTTTTGAAGAAGGGAAGTTTTTAAGTATTGACAAAGTCTAATTTATAATTTTTCTCTTATGATTTTGTTTCCCTTTTTTTTTTTTTTTTTAAAGCCAAGACCTTGCTATACAGTCAGGCTGGCTTCAAACACACTATGTAGCCAGATTCAAATTTGTGATCCTCCTGCTTCAGCAAGTGCTAGGATTACAGGTGTGTACCACCATGCCCTACTGGACTTATCCAATTTTTAAGTCATGAAAATATCTTTTGTTTTCCATACAAGCCTTTTAGTTTTTATGTTAATGTCTCTGTCCTTCCTGCATTAATCTTTGTGTGGTATGAGGTAGGAATTGTGGTTCATTTTTGACCATATGGGTACTTCATTCCAACACCATTTTTAAAAGTCTATCCTTTCCTCATTGCTTGCTCTGGTATTCTTGTTAGAAATCAAATAATCTTGAAGTATGGAACTATTTCTGGGTTCTCTATTCTGTTCCACTGCTGTATTAGTCTGTCCTCAAGCCAGTATTATATTATCCTGATTACTGTCACTTTCTAGTAAATCCTGAAATAATATTGAGGTAATATAAATCTTCTGACTCTGTTTTGTTGTTGTTTTCAAATTTGAGGGGGCCATTTTACATCCTTTTTCCTTTTCTTCCTCCGTGCGGGCGCGCTTGCATGTTGAGGATCAAACCCAGGACCTGTAGCATGCCAGTCAAGCATACCCAGGCCCCTTTTCTTTTCTTTTTTTTCAGTACTGGGGTTTGAACTCAGAGCCTGCACCTTGAGCCACTCTACCAGCCAGCCCTTTTTTGTGATGTTTTTTTTTGAGATACGGTCTTGTACACTATTTTGTGTGAGCTGGCTTTGAACTGCAATCCTGATCTCTGCCTCCTGAGTAGCTAGGATTATAGGTGTGAACCACCGGCTCCTGGCTCTTTTCATTTTTAATGTATTTTTCTGAATTATTCTGCCTACTTCTCCAAAAAAAAGGTTGCTGAAATTTTTATAGGAATTTTGTTGACTCTTATATATAACAATTTAGGGAGAACAGATATTGTGTTAGTCAGACTTTTGGTCGCTGTGACAAATATCTGAGAGAAACAGTTTAAAGGAGGAAAGATTTATTGTGGGGTTCATGGTTTTAGAGGGTTCAGTCTATGGTTGGCTGGCTCTATTGTTTCTGGGCAGTGGTGAGGCCAAACATCATGGTATAAGTGCAAAGTAGTTGACACCTCTTGACAGACAGGAAACACGAGCAGGAGAGAGAGAGAGGAGTAGGGGTATGATGAAGGGCAAGACACATCATTCAAAGGCAAGCCCCCAGTGACCTACTTCCTCCAACCAGGACTTACAATGTTTGTATCACCTCCCAATGCTATCAGATTATGAATCCGTCAAAGGATTAATCTGCTCCTGAAGTCAGAGCCCTCATGATTCAGTTACTTCCTAGCCCTACCCTACCCATTTTAAAGCAGACAGGAATCATATTGTGGTCAACAAAGTGGCAGCATCAAAATAGACAGGTGGCTGGGGATGTAGCTCAGTGGCCGAGTGCTTGTATAACATTTGTGAGGCCCTGAGTTTTATCCCAACCACTGTAAAAACATAAAAAATAATTTTAAAAAGATCGTTAGACTTTTTTAGGATTACACACCTGTAATCCTAGCACTCAGGAGGGAGAGGCCAGCCTGGGTGCGAAGGGAGACACTGTCTCAAAACAAACCAGCAAACACAAATTAGATCGGAGGCATGGTCCAAAATGTGGCTGACCCATAGAGGGTGAGCAAGCATGCATTTCCCAACCCTGTCACACAGCCTCCCTGACACTTGAGCTCTGTTGTTAGTGGTTTACGTTTAGTATTTTAGGAAAACTGGACATTTTATGTATGTAATTATTTTTGCAGTGCTATGGCTCAAACCCAGGGCCTTGTGCACACGAGGCAAGTACTCTTACCATTGAGTTATACCTCCAGCCCCAAATTGGACATTTTTAGTAGAAAGATGTATTTATTGGGATTTTAACTTCCGTTTATCATCAGCTGGGCATGGTGGTACATACCAGTAATACCAGTGCTTTGCAGGCTGAGCCAGGAGGCTAGTGAGTTTGAAGCCAGTCTGAACCAGCTGAGACCTTGTTTCAAAAAAACAACAAAATCTAGTGTCAACCATTATTTCCTATGGAAGGATAATTCTTTCCCAAGAATGATCTCTATCTGTTCACCCCACTGCCTGGTCTGTATGGGCAGTGAGTAAATGAATCACAGACCAGGTATCTTTCCTGGGGACGTGATAGGTTGTTTCTAATAAGGTCCCAATGAGCTGTATCTTCTGGTATTCATGTCCTGGTAATCCTCTCCCACCCTGAATCAAGTCTGAGTTATGTAATCAATAGAAAACTTTGGAACTGACAAAAAGTGTGACTTTCCAGGCTAGGTCATAAAAGGCATTAGAGTTCAGTCTTAGAATTTTGTATCATTTGCTCTATGGGAATTTGCACCGTGTTGTGAAGAGGCCTAAGTGGCCCGTGGAGAAGCCCAAATGGAAAGGTACTTAGACCTTCTGCAAACTGTGAGCCACAGGGGGTAACATCTTGGAAATGGACGTTCCAGCTCCAGTCAAGCTGTCAGATGACTGAAACCCAGACAACTACATGAGAATCGAAGTCAGAAATAGTCAGCCAAGCACTTCAGGATTCTTGAATGATAGAAACCATGAGAAATAATGATTTTTATTTTTTGATACTGAGAATCAAACTCAGGGCCTCTCACATGCTAAGCATAGGCTCTACTACTGAGCAATACCTTCAACCTTGATTTGTGTTTTAACCACTAAGTTTTGAAAATATTTGTTTTTCAGCAATAGGTCACTTATACAAATATCAGAAACAAAAGGTGCTCCTGGGGAGTTGATGGGATGTGACAGGCAGACCTGGGAAGGTGAGAACAGTGAGCGGTATAGTAAGGAAACAAAGTAGAGTAAGGAAACTATGAAAATCAACCTTTGTATTTTATTTACTATTTCAGCTAGGATTGGTCCTAAGAAGTTTCTTTAGAGGGCTCCTGACCTAGATCAGAATGCAGTGTGATCTTCATTCAGAAGGCAGATTATAGGTGTGTTGTGTGTGGGGTTCCTACATACAAGTTAGTCATTCTCATACTTTGCAAGTGACAGGGCTCCAAAATAACGATCAGGTTCTGGGTGAGCAACAGCTGTTCTTCATCTGAGCTGTGTTCTACACCAGACCCTGGGATAATTGTTGAGTGAAATCAGGGAGGATAAGTGTGAAACAGACCCTGCCTCCAAGAAGACTGAAATATATAGAAGAAAAGCAAGAAGACAATGAAAACTGTGACAAATGATGTGATAAATCAGGACAAATCTAGGCTATTAGGAGGTTTAAAAGTCAGTTATGGAGGGCTACCTGAAAGAGGTGACTTTTAATCTGTGTTTTGAAGGACAATTAATATGACTTGGCCTTTCTCTACATGAAAGGGAGAAATGAGACAATGGAGTGAGGGTCCTTTCCAGACAGCAGGCAAAGCATGTTTAAAGACGTGGAAAGTTGTCTAGAGGTTCAAGAGAGTGTAGGTGGTTCAGAATGACTGGGATATAGACAATAATGGAAAAGGTGAACTTAGCAGGGGCCCAGCTCTTGCAAGGTCTCATATTTCCTGATAGTGTTTGAAATTTTATCTTCAAAGCAGTGAAGAGCAACTGTAGGGTTTTAATCGATGCCATAATTTAATCAGATTTTCATATGGATAGGATTCCTCTTGCTCTGTGAGTGGATGGGATTGAGTGGGGGTGGATGACAGCCAAGACTAGCAGGAAGGCTACAGCTCAGTTCTGGCAAAAGGGAGAGTCCTGAGCGGGGTGCCCGTGGCTCATGCCTGTAATCCTAGCTACTCAAGAGGCAGAAATCAGTAGGATTATAGTTTGCAGTTCGAAGCTATCCCCAGGCAAATACTTCACGAGACCCTATCATGAAACAAACTCATCACAGAAAAAGGCTGGTAGAGTAGCTCAAACAGTAGAGTAAGTGCTAGGCCCTGAGTTCAAACCCCAGTGCCGCCAAAAAGAAAAAGTCTTAATGAAGTAAAGGCAAGGCAGGAGGGGGCTGGGGCTGAGGCTTTAAAGACAGAAGCAATGAAGTTCTTTGTGAGGTAAATTTATCAACGATTTCCCGGGTTCTGGCTTAGGAAACTGAATAAATACCTTACTGTGGTGTGGACATAGGGAAGTATTCAACATTTTACGTGTTAGGTTTTTTTTTTTTTTTGGTGCTGCGGCCTGAGCCCAGGTCTCCAGCATGCGAAGGAAGCGTACGTATAAAGTGGTAAACACTGAGCTACATCCCCAGTTCAACATTTGCTTTTTGCACTAATAAAAGATTGCAGGGTAAATATTTGTTCTTTCTAATGGTCGACGTGCCCAAGCCCGTAAGACAGAGCCTCAGGCTGTCAACGCAAACTGCCCGATCTTTCTACCGCCCACTCCGTTTTCCTACAATTCCTAATCCTGAACATCTCAGGTTGCGCCCTCCCTAGCGTTTACTTCCGTCCCATTTCCTCCTCCAGACCTTCCTCCTCACCCCCTCCCAGTCGGACGGGCAGAGCCAACGGCTCAGCGGCATGACCTTGGGTCATCTTCGGCCGCGGAGTCGCTCCGTGACCTTGGGCAAGTGCCCGCTTTCATCTGACCAGCGCGACCGAACTGCCGGGTCTGCACCCGGCGCCCACACCCCTACCTGGCCCCCCCCCCCCCCCGCCTGGCTTCCGCCGCGCGCGCCCCACGGTCCCCACGCCTACGCTGCCGGCGTAGTGGCCACTTCGAGACGCGCGGACCTCTCATTCCGACGCTCGTTTACGCCGCGCGGGCTAGGAGGGCGGGATTCCCGAACGCTGCCTGCGCTGCGAGCGCGCGGCCGAGCCACAGGCCGGTGCGGCCTTACGCCGCTGACGCAGCGCGCCCAAGATGGCGGCGCGGTCGTCGTCGGGGGTGGCGAAGGCAGAGGGGGCGGCGGCAGTGGCGGCAGCGGCGACAGCGGCGACGGCAGCCGTAACAGCGGTGGCTACAGCGTCGCAAGACCTGGGCCGGGGGGAATGAGGCGGCCGCGGCAGGCCAGCGGCGGAGCCGTATAGCGGAGTCGCGGCTCCCTCTCCCTGCTTTCCTTGGTGTACCGCGGGCGCGCGCGTGCGCGGCCGTCCGGAACAGGCTCCCCACCCCTCGATTCCCGCGACCCGCATCGCACCCCCACCCGGGCCCAGAGGATGATGAAGCTCAAGTCGAACCAGACCCGCACCTATGACGGCGACGGCTACAAGAAGCGGGCCGCGTGCCTGTGTTTCCGCAGTGAGAGCGAGGAGGAGGTGAGGCGCGGGGCGCGGCGGGATGGGGTCGCCGGCCGCCTGGGGCCGAGGCGCGGGGGCGCGGCCGCCGGCGGAGGGTGTTTCGGAGCGCGGATCGGGCCGCGGGGCCCGAAAGAAGTTCCGATGAATTTCCTGAGGACAGAAGAGAGAATGGGAAAAGGATGGTGGTGCGAGGGGAAAGTGGGACCGAGCTGCGCCGGCGGGAGGGAGATGCCACTGTGCAGCAGGGGCGCTTGGGGCCGAGCGCCTGTCACCCGGGAGAGTGGCCGCGGGGATAGGCAGTGGGCTGGGCGAGGCCCCCGCTTGGATCCGGGGCGGGCGGCTCGGCACTTGTCAGCCCGGCACATGTGTGCAGAGGCCGCCGTGCACGAGGCGCAGGCCGGCCTTTGTGGCCGGAGACCTTTATTGGCAGGTTTGGGGCTGCTGGGGACTGTGTGCTAGCCCGAGGGGGTGGGCGGCGGTCGTAGGAAGGTCCGGGCCGTTGTGCACAGACAGAGCCAACTGTTTATTTTACATCGCGCTGCTTGCTTCTTACGGTTTTACCCTGAGAAGAAAGAACACTTGATCAGATGAATTTTTTTGTGGACTGAAATTTTTTCATTTTAATTGGAAAGGCTAAAAGTGGTAATTAAGATCTTTGCCCTGGCATTCCTCCCCTCCCCTATAGGAAACCCTTAGGATTAAGTTTGCTAGGAAAACATAAATATTTTAGAATCCCTTTCTTTTTGCTTACGGGACTTAAAAGGGTAAAAAAAAAAAAAAAAATTTCGGCTTCCCAAAGCCGTTTCTGTGGTGATGAAGGGAATTCGGAGAAGGCACATGTTTTGTAAATCCACAAAGAATAGCTGCTTTGGAAATTCGTAAGATGCCTGTGGGAACATATTTCTCTCGTGTGCATGGTGGTAAAATGGCAGTTAGCCTGGAAACAATGAAGGACAGTGAAATTCAATATGTTATATTCCGGCATGCAGCAGTGGGCTATGGTGGCAGGGCTGCCGTACAGTGCAACGTGTTGAAATGGTGGAAAGGAACTTGACCCGTTAGTTATGAAAAGAAGCTATGATGAAAGAGACAGATGGACTGCCAGGAGTTGCTGCCATCCAGAGATATTTAGAAGGAAGTGGGAATTTAAATTATTGCCTGAAGAAAATTAGTGAAGCACTAATTGTGCTGTTGAGGAATGGCCTGTATGCCCCTTTTCAGCAAAACAGAAGGAAAGATTTGGAAATGTGTACTTTGTGTCCTATCATTTATTATAAAAGTTCCCCCAAAGAGATGCCTTGTAATAGTTGTACTAAGTAGGGCTATGCTGTAAATTATGTGCTGTTTGGGAATACTTTGTTGAGTAAAATAAAATTATTGCTGGTGGTGACTGTTCTGGAGGCTTTGTTCTCTTCATTATCATATCATATTATGGGAAATCAGTTGGGATCACAGGCTGTTAACCGGAGGGAAAACTAATTAGCATAATAACAAGTCTTACTACACTACCATGGTTAAGTCTGTGAGCACCCCAATTATAAGTAGAAGGGTGTATAATTTAGTCATGTATGACACAAGACTTCTTGTTTTAAAAAATTATACTAGAAATTGAAAACATGTGGTTATTTTGGATAAGTTGGAAACCCTTTATATGTTGTAAGCAAACTAAGGGAGACTTCATTTTCCATTTTCTCTTAAAAGTATTATGATGTACTGACAGTCTCAGCACCAGTATTGTCACACGCTTACTTTTGTGTTTCCACTACCCTGCTGTCTTGTACAAGTCAGGCCAGGCTTAGGACTTGCATTTTTGTAGCTTAGAATTTTAAACTGTTAAAAAGAGGTTTCTTTAATGGATTAAAGCATTTGTCTGATTATGGAGTTTCCTTTATTGAATTTCTTTTTGAACATTGGTTAATGAGCAGAAGAATCATGTAAATCTTTAATTATAGATTCAGTGGGTGTTACAGCTAAAGCCTGGGAAGAACAAGAAAATTAATGAAGTGGGACTATTTTAAACTTTTACAGTTAATTGAACAAGTGAGTTTTAAATAAAGAGCCTACTGTGGGGCACAGCCTTCTGTTATGTGGGCTTTAGAGATGAGCGTCCCTTCCTGCCTGCAGTAGTTTTAGATGAGGTCCCTTAATTGGGAGGGGTTTTGGACTACAAAATAATTTCTAGGATGCTGTTCAACTCTCAGATTATATAATTGTGTTGGAAGGGAAGTAATTTGTTAGTTCCAAGCAAACTTTTATGTTTTCGGTGGACGTGCCAGAGACTGGAAGCTGCCACACGTTGTGTGAAAGTGAAATTCAAACTTAATAGGACAGTCAACCCAATTTATTTTTTAATGGGCTTTAATGGCTTTAATCAAGGTATAATAGTTTACAGAATATTATTAGCATAATACAGTAGTAATGTAAGTATTAACAGGACCTTGGTATGTAAATTTAATTAACCAGTGTTAAGAAACATACAATGTGAAGAAAAAGAGATGAAAATATTAGAGGATAATTGACCATGAATCAAACCCTCTTAATGTTTTTGTTTTTTCAGCCTCATAATTTTACTTACAGGCCAGCAATGAGAGCAGCTGAAGCTCTGATCCAAGTTAGGACGTATAGTCATAGCAAGACTATTGAGTACTCATTGAGTGCCAGGTTCTCTGAAACAGTTATGAAGGAGGTAGACATTTGTGAGGGAAATAGAAGAATAAGCAGACCCAGCAACAGGATGCAAATGAGTTCTCTTTCTTCCAGCCTTCTGGCTGCTTTTCCTATTGATACATTAAAATGAACAGGAAAAAAAAAATCCCCCACTTACAAGTTGTACTGCTGTTAGCATTTTTATAACTTAATATTTTTAAGTTAGGGGATTTGTGACAGATAACTATGTTAACTATGCACTATGGCACTTCGAACCTGGTGTAGAGTATACAGTCTCCTGGCTAGCTAACCTCCACTTAACCAACCTGGTACAATGAATGTTGACTGTTACTTAGCAGGCTGCTGGTTTGGCATACCCCAGCCATGGCTTCCCAGAAGTTGAACTGTGTTTACAAAGAGTCAGTTGTATTATTCCTCTATCTGTTTATGTTCATTGTGCTTGTTATTGTAATTATGCAACTTCATTAAATATAGCACAAGTTGGTGAAATTTGAGTTCAAAAGGTAGTTTTGTCAGACGTATTTCAAATGCTTTAGAAAGACTGTAAATGCAAGTCACTAAAAGAAATTATTGTTCAATTATATGGACAAGTAAACTGGAAAGGATTAGGGAGGGAATCTTAAAATGTAGAAGGACTTTGCATGTAAGATTACCTTATGAATGTCTTGATTTTTGTTCTTTATAGAAACTAGGACTGGAAAACAGTTCATTTATTATGTGTGTGACATATGAAAGAAAGATAGTTTGTAATTCAGTAATAACTCTTAAAATCATGGCCGTACATTCAAAGATCAACAAATAAATAGACTTTATATAATTTAAATCTGCCATATCCTTCAGTTGATACTTTATCATAGGCGGAAGATTGAAATTTGGTGATTAAGATTTTATAATCCTGAATTGAGTGATATGACATTCATCTCTGTCATATTATTCAACTTTGGTCCTTTTAAAAGCATTCCAGTGAGATTGTTCCTTTTGCCCCATTCCTTTTCTTTTTTGGAGCCTTTGTGATGAGAAGTGAGAGACACCAGTAGGGTCGGGCTTGTTTGTACTCTACCCTCCCTGTAGGAGGGGTGAGGAGTATAACAGGCATTTTAGACAGCTGAAATAGCTACAAATGTGAAGTACTTTCAGAAAGGTCAGTGATGCAGAGTATGCACCACAGACATCACAGTGCCTGGGGAAGTTAAAGTGGTTCCTAAAGGGTCTATTTTAACCCAGGGGAGAATGAGTACTAATAAGATTGTGTCAGATTTCCCTGTGTATTAAAATGATTTTTTAAAATGAAAGAATAAAACTTTGAAACTTAAACCTAATACATTTCTACTAGAAATCTTACATCTCTAGGCAAGGGAGAGCTGTTTCTTACTTTCTCAGATCCTTGAGCTCACCAGGTTGGATGGGGAGATGATTGATACTGGAGATCCTCAGTTGGCAGAGACTCTGGTGGCCTGAGTGTTTATCTCTACAGTGTCCCAAAAGAGAAGATGGAAGGACGTGACTGCAGACTGCACCTTCTAGCAGGCCCTAGAGAGGGGAATAAGGCACAGGTGGCAATCCCAGAGGCGATAATCGTGATGAAGGGCTTCCAGTAGATCCCAGGCTGGTCGGAGAGTCCTTTTGTAGCATTGTCCACTATTACATTACTCGAAGATCACAGTGGGTGCATTGATGTAGTCATATGCTCTTCAGATTTCTCAAAGTCTTTCCTAGAGGCTTGTATTTTATTTTTGAAGGTTTTGCTTTCCCTTCTGCCTGCTTAATACCAGTTAGTCATTTTATATTGAATCATTATATCCTTTTCTTTCTCTCACGCTCGCTGCGACTCTCTCGCGGGTGGGAGAGTTATCAGGCAGATTGCCATCTCCCCATCGGTGCGCGTGTTAGACGTGGGTTCGCTGTAAGGACATTGCTTACTACGATTTGTGAATATATCCTATCGTGTAAACCTCCTTAGTGCTTAGGATTATGCAGGCATGAACGCCTCATGCTAGCTTGCACTACGCGCCATTTTTTTTTAAGTTCTTGTCTGATCTAAACTTTTTTTGGTTTTAGGTGATTCTCATCGTTCTCAGTAAATTGTTGTGTATCTACTGTGTGTTTAGCAATCTGTATCTTTCTTCATTGGGTTCATACGAAAGAGAAAGAGCTGTTTGTTCAAGAATTGCACTTTGTTTTGATTAATTTTTTTGAGAGCCTTACTATGGCTATCTTTCTGTGGTCCCTCATAATTTTAAATCCCCTCACCACCACCTGTGTCCATCGCTGCTTGCATAACAGTGACGCGCTTACATCCTACAGTTTATTACTCATTCGTCCTGCATTTAGTCAACCCTTCTTCTCACTTT